GCTCAAAGAATGGGAATTTCCAGGTCACATAGCTGGTAACTCTTCCACTTCTGGAATCTTAAAAACCTAGTAATCCACTATCATTGGCCATTCCTCAACCATATCAGGCTCTGATCTGTGATGCCTTTAACTTTAACTTATAATAATCTATTGCTCCTCTCTTTTTCCTTCTATAAACATCCAATGAACATTTTTAAGTGCCTATTATGTTCCAGGAATCCTTATGGGTTTTACATTTTAGAGGGATTCTCAAACATAAGCAATGAAAACAATTAGTAATGAAGTTTTACTACTATGAAAAAAATACATAGGAATGGTTATGAAGGTGGGCAGAGAAGAATACTTTCATAAGGGTGGTCAGGAAGATCCTCTTTGAGGAGGCAACATTTAAATAAGAGACTGCAATGACCAAAAGAGTATTCCAGGAAAAGGGATTATCTGGGATAAGTGCTTTAAAAGAAGAGCAAATTCAATGTGTTTGAGAAATAGAAAAAAAGCCCAGTGTGGAGTTGGGAGAATGTCAGAGGGAACAAGACTGAAGAAGTAGTCCGGGTTTGCCACATAAGGCTCTGTAGGCCCACAAAGGAGTCTGGACTTTAAGTGTCATCAGAAGACATGGAAGGACTCTAGGAAGTGGTATGATATGATATGATTTGTGTTGTATGATTTATGTCACTTTAGCCATGCTGTGGAGAATAGGGGCAAGAGTGGAAGCAGGAAAAGTAGAACTGTTATAGAATTAGAACTATTATAGAAGACCAGAAGATAGTGTTTGTACTAGGGTGGTGGCAGTGGAGATAGAAAAAGATAGATCTGGGAAATGTTTTGGAGGTTGAGTTGACCTGAATTTTTTATTGGACGTATTTATTGGATGTGAGAACTAAGGAAGAGAGAAAAATCATGAATAGCTACATGCTTTTTGGCCTAAGTAATTGGTGGATGGTGATGATACTTAATTTGAAAGACAAGGCTGAAAGAATCGACAGTTTTGTATTACTGTATTCTTTCCTTCTTTTCCTATGCAGCCTTCATCACACACACTTTGACTGTACTCTTTTCCCAATACCTTTAATTTCCTTCCTTCCTTGCCCTTCAGTCCTTGTTATCCAAAAGAACTTCCTCTATCTACTTCTACTCCGATCTACTCAGTCCACTGCAATCTGTTACTATCCCATTATCCCAATAAACTCCTTGCTAACACAACAATGGCCTTCCTGTTAAATCCAAGGGCTTTTCAGCTCTCATTCTTCTTGACCTTTCTCTAGCATTTAATACTGTTGACATTTCCTCCCTTGGCTTCTCTGAAACTAACTAGTTCCTGGTTGTCCAACCTCTCTGGAGTTCTCCCTTTGTCTTTGTTTCCCCACCTTTTCCCCGCCCTGCCTTTTGAATGCGGTTCCAGTTAAGTCTTTCTTCTTACTCTCTACCTCTTCTCTTGGGGATTTCATCTACTTCCATGGCTATTACTTATTTCGGTGACTCCAGCATAGATCTCTCTCCTGAGTTCCAGACTACCTTGTTCAATTACATAGTAGACAACTTCACTTTGATATCTCATGGACATTTCAAACTCAACCACGTTTAAAATCAAGCTACTTACCTTCCCTCCTCAACCTATTTTTTTCCTCCTGAAGTTCACATCTTGGGGAATGGTACCACTATCCTCCCATTTACCTAAGACATAAATCTATTCCTTAATCCTGCAGTATAGTCAATAACAAAATTCAGTTGGTTCTATGTCCATAATATTTCTTGAATCCTTTCCTTCTCTCCATTTCCATTCTTGCTAAATTTTTAGATGCCCCTCATTTCTTTCATATAACACTAAAACAACTTCCTAACTAGTCTCCCACTTATAGTTACTCACACTAATAATTTCTCCAAACGGGACTGATCTTTCTAAAATGGACATTCAATCACCTCATTATGCTCCCTAAAATTCATCAGTGGTTCTTCATTGGCCTTAAGATAAATTGAAACTGCTTTGGAAGACATACAAGACTTTTCACAATACAAGACCTTGCTGATCTTTCTGAGTGTGTCCTTCATAACTTCTGCCAGGCGTTTGTAAAACGTATTTACTGAGAATCTACTATTTGTTAGGCACTGTTCTTCACCTTCAACTCTCTGGGTACTTTGACCTCCAGGACTTTACATAATAGTACTTTTTTTGGCTGGACTATATTTCTCTTAAACTTTCCCACTTGTCTGGATTACTTCTCCCTATCCTTGAGAACTCATCTCTGAATTCATTGTCTCTGGTTAGGGATCCAAGTATGCCCAGTCAGGGTTAGGTACCTCTACAATGAACTCCCCTGTTGATATCATGTCACTCACTGTTGTGTGATCAACTGTTACTCATCTGTCTCCTCGTTATACTATAGGGTCCTTTGGAGCAAGCTGTCTTATTCATTTTGGTTTCCCAGTGCTTACCTGACACATAGCATGCAGTCAATAATGCATAAATAAAGTGGCAGAGTTGGGTTTCAGAGTCAGGTCTTTCTCTTTGGCATAAACCTCACATTTCTTCATGCTACTTCTTTGTACCTTAAAGCTGAAGACTCTGAAAATCTGTGATAGGTTTATATTTACCTATCACTAAAATATAGACAAATATATTATTAGCTCTATGGGGATTCAGTTGATTATTTATTTTTTGTATATCCCTTCATCATTCCACCATTTTGCTCATCAAAATACTTTGGGTTAACTAAATCTAAAATGACTGAAAGACCTTTCTATACAATTTTATATCCTTTCTACCTCTTATTGCTTTGCAACACCACACCAGCAAGCAGAGAGTAAGTACATTGGAAATAAGGTTGATTTTATTTGATTGGCAAATGACACTAAAAAATGATACATCAACAGCAAATCATTTCCCATTATTGTTTTCCCCAAGATCTCTATGGATAGGTACTAAAGTTTCACTGTTAAAGGTTAACATTGTAAAATCCAGTTAAAATAGAAATTTTTATGTAATCAGTTCAATATATCACATAATTTTGTAAATGCAAGGAACCTTAGCGATCTGTAATGCAGCATTTGTTAAGCTCCCATGAGAAAACTGGCATAAGAAGACCTGTAGTGGCTTTTGCCCAAGGTCATCCAGCCTACAGAAGTGGGAGCAAATTTTCTGATACTCAGATGTTCTTTCCTCCACGTACTCTCTGTTTTCCATCTAAACAAATTATCTGCATCAGAACCCACCTATTTGTATATTACTTATCTTTATGATATTTATGATATTGGCTATGTGATATCCCTGTTATAAAGAGGAAGGAAGTGAAAACAAAAGACAAACCTGTCTTTTCCAGGGACATAGGGGAATTAGTAAAAGTGACAATTAGTTCACAAAGTGATGCGCTCTTCTTTGCAGTAGAGCCCTGTAATCACATTCTTCTCTGAGTGCCCCAGTGCTAACCCAAGCTTATTTGTGCTTCTGGGGCCCGGATTCCATTCAATTCAATGCCTTATGATTTTCCCAGCTTTAATGTGTATTTTTTGAGCTTCATTTTAGAAATATCATACTTAAGTATACTCTTTACTTGAGTTTATTTTAATTCTAATGCTGAGAAATGAGGATTCTGGGTAAAATAAATAAAGATGATGGATTTTACCAGGCTTTACATTTCAAGAACAGTTTTTATTTTCCTCAAATGGCAACTGGCAGTTTATTTTATTCCTCAAATGATGATGATTTCCATGGGAATTAGAATTTAATTGAGATAATTTGTTTTCATGGAAAGCACAGATTTCTTCAAGAGGATCAGTTTGATAATGTTTTACCAGTTAGTACACGGAGACCAAATATAAACCAGTTCTGAGAAACAGGAAGTGAACCTGACTGGTCTAGTCTGCGTGTCCCTGGCAGTGACGCAAATACAGAAATCAAATTAGGAAAACAAGATATGTGGGTGTGAGGCAATCGATAAAAGTCCAGGATGCTACAACACAAGCAAGAACGCCTTTAACCAAATGCCATTCATTTTACTAACACCCTGAGAAGTTTGATTTCCACTTAACCTGCTAGTGATTAGAGAGCAGGATGAGCTTGAGTTCCCTAGCAACAGCATGTGCTTTTGAGATAGTCATTAGCTTTTCAGTTAATCCCACCAAGCCCTTCTAAACGTATGACTGACATTAAAAAAAAAGAGATTTCAGAAAGTGCTTTGAAATTTTCAGGAGCAAAATGGAAAGGAATTAAAAAAAAAAAGCCGTTCTGAGAATTGTATTCAGGTAAAAGTATTAGCTTGTGCCTAGACTGCCCCTACGCTCGTTGCTCTCAGTTCTGTTTCTGAATCCCCTACAGGTAAAGGGCCACGGAGGGGAAATTGTTTCGAGTTTAAGGCAGTCTCCTCATCCATATTGAATCACAATCAGAATATGGGGTGATAACGGGTGGACCGTTTGTGTGGGGGCAGAGACTGAATAGAACACGTTGTTTTCTTTCTCCTTTAAGCAGAATACATTATCCTGGAAGGTGCCTGGGTAAGGATGGGGGTGTGAGCGGATTGAACCTATTTTTCCTATTGATTGTGTAATTACACCAGAGGCTGATTATCCGAGGCCACTGACCAAGACCATTATTTTCGTGGCAAAAGTGAGGCTGGGCAGGTTTCCATCCCCTTCCCTAGTTTTAAACGGACAACCCATAAAGCGTAGCCAGGTTATAGGAATACGGTGCAGGTTGACTTTTGCAACTCTGGCTGTACCCTAAAGCGCCAGGGCTGATGGGATGATGGTTCTCGAATCCTGACTCATTGCCTCTAGCTCCGTGTTAGGTTCGGGATGCTCTCTGTAGCCTGGCTCAACTGCGGGGGGTTATTCGAATGGTAATTATTGCTGCGTTTGGCTGGTCATCCTTATTACGGCCTGGGTCCCCTTCAGACACTGAGCTCCCTCAGTTTGGCCGGGGTGGCTCCTAGATCTCCCCGCCTCCCACCTAACCCCCCAGAGCGCGCCCTTCCCAAGGCGACCACCTGCGCCGCCCCACTTACCATCTGCCCGCGGGGAGGGCCCCTCGGGGTAGCGGAGCCCTCCCAGCTCCCGGGCGGCTCTGGGGGAGCTCGGTGTTTGCCTCCAGCCCTTCGCTACCGGAGAGATCAGGTTCCTCCCCTCCTCCCCCTCCAGCTCCGGCCGCCGCCGCCGCCTCCTTCTTGCATGACACAGCAGAACCGCCGCTGCTGCAGCAAGTCCCAACCATCCGCCCAGGAAGCGCCGCAACCGGGACTCGGGAGGGGCGGGGAAGAGGGGGGCGAGGCAGGGGCCACCGTCGAGGGGGGTTCTTGCCCCCACTTAGCACCTCACACTCCTCTTCCAGCCAGGGGCACAGGAACAAAATCAGGCTAAAGGCGACCAGGCCGAGTCGTTGAGGAATGCTGGGGTTTGGCGTCAGAAGGGATGGGACCAGAGAGAAGGGTGTGAAGGAGACCCCAGTAGGGGCAGGACACTGCAGGTAAAGAAGGGGAAGAAGAGGCCGAGAAGTCAAGGGCCAGGCCCTGAAGGAGAATAAAGGAGGTCAAAGAGAGGTAAGGAGGTAGAGTTGCTGAGAAGGGAGACCGACACAGCTGGGAAGGGGAGGGGGGATGGGGGGAAGAGGGCTGTAGGGGAAGGAGAACTGGGAGTATTTTGGGGGGCCTGAGCTAAGTACCCAGGAGACACAGATGCTGGATTAGGAGACAAGGATAGAAAAGGGGAAAGGATCCAAGAATTGGGCAGTATAGAGGAAGGTAAAAATTGGGGGACATTATGGCATTATAAGGGATGTAGTGGAGATCACTCATCATGGCTGATGAGGTAAACTGGAAAGAGTCAAGGCAAAGCCAAAGGAAGGGTAATTTCCTATCCTACTCCAGTGACCTGCGCAGTTTTTAATTCTGTCAATCCAAACAGGGAGTTTTCCTTGTAAGTGGAAAGACATGAACTAAAGCATAGAAATAGCTATTTAGCTTGGATGTACAGGATAAAATCTCCATGGTCCACAAAAACTTTAAAGGCTGAGAAGTGTGATTTATGGCATAAGCCCATAGAGGGGTAGTAATTCAATAATAGGGAGAGCTCTCAAAACTGATGCTGGTTTCCACGCATTACTGGACTTTAGTAAGTCAAAGTGCTTGTTATTAAATGCTTCGGTTAAGTGCTAGAAATCATGACAAAATTTTTGGTTCAAAATAACGCAAAAATGCACATGCTTTTATTTCTCTCTATATGCACATATATATGAATAGATATGATGTATAGTGTCTAGCATGTATGGTATGATTAAGGGAAAAAATGTGTTTCTCTATTTTTCCACCAAACATATTTCTATGCATTTTATAGCAAACCAGCTGTTTCTCACCATTTTATAGAATGTGGTCAGAAAAGTAAAGCAAAAACTGCCACTTTGGTTTTGTCTGTACCTTCTAGGTCGTATCTTCGTACCTCACTTCCTGACACAAACAACTTTTTACTGTTGTCAGCAACAAATCCCTAATATAGCTGCGGAATAGAAAAACTGCATTGCATTTTGCCTCCTGCAAGCATCATCAACAGTTACCGGAGGAATGTGATTCCAGAAAGCTTTAAAGCTGGTGGTGATGGTAATTATGTATCAAATGCCTGATGCTATTTCTGTGGTTATTGTTTTGTCATTTCTGCTCTACGCAAGAGCTGGCGGAACTCGCAGAGGAACGCATCCAGTTTTTCTTTTTAACTTTGTAAAAATTAATCAGACTTGATAGAAAACTCATTGCTCTTGGGGAAAATAAAGTAGGAGCCACGAAATGTCACGTTAGCAGAGCGTGGGCTCAGTGACTTAAGGACTCGAGGACGCGCCTTCTGCTCTGGGCGCTCTGTATGGAGCGCAGGCCCCACGCACGCACCGACGCCGCGGCTCCCGGATGCTGCGGCTCCCGGCTCGGCGCCGCGAGGGGCTCTCGGTGGGTGGTACGGGGCGCAGCCGCCGCCAGTCCCGCCGCTGCTGCCGTTGCGGCTGCAGTCACGTGGGAGCCCCTTTAAGTTTCCATAGAGAGGCCTCTCCGGTGTCACATGATGGACATGATATAATGAAACAACATTGTGGAGAGGAAAGCATTAGGGAGCCCACGGCTACGGAAACAAGTGAGTGAGAAGAGGTGGGAGGAAGAGAAACTACGCCACCTCCCCTGCTGCGGAGCCGCACGCAGCAGCCGGGCGGAGAAGGGGGCGACACCGGGGGGCAGGGAGCCGGGGTCCTCAGGCCCGGCCGGGGATCTGCCGCCACCCGAAGGGAGCAACTTTTAGCCGGCTGCCTCGGCCAGCACTGCACCTGTCTCCGGGGCCGCCGTCGCTCCTCGTGATGATCAAAGGGAAATTCTAGAAGAATATGCTCCACAAATATACATGTGCATCATTTCCCCCCTTGCGTCTCGCTCTGGAAGAAGGAAAGAGAAAGGGATTTAAGCAGCTGCGCGTCTTCAGCCCTAAGGTAAGTTCTGGAGGGTGGGGAAAGCCGGCCCGGCGGGACGTAGGGATGGAAATTTTGTTCTCCGTTTAGACCTCCCGAGGTGAATGAGGCGAGGCGGATGGCTCTGACGGTCCAGCAGAAACATTTCCACCGTAGACTCTATTTCCTCTTTCGCACGCCCCTCAGTCCCACCCTCGGACTCTCTGGGGCCCCTCGCCTCCCCCCCGGAAGGGGGCCGCAGGTCACGGCCGGGCTGTTGGGGAGCTGCCCAGCGAAGGTAGGGGTAGTGGCGTTACCCTGGAATGCAGAGGCGATTTCGCCATGTTTGTGTTGCTAAGAGCACTTTTTTCCCCTTTGAGGTGGCCTGATGCCACATGGCTCCTCCGGAGCTGCTGCCGGGTTGAGCGTGTGTGTGTGTGTGTGTGTGTGTGTGTGTGTGTGTGTTTCAATGTCCGCATTCCAGCTAATGTTGCGCAGATAAAATTCAAACTTGAGGTAAACAGAAGAGGAGGAGGGGGGGTGAGAGGGGGAGACTGTTTCCATTTCGAGATCCCACCTCTTCACTCCGCGGAGAGCAACGTCCCGAATCTAGAGAGCACCCTCTTGTTTCTCCCACCTACCCCACCTTTGCTGTCCACCTGAAATAAGGCAGCGGGGTTGGGGGTGCTTACCGAGGACGCCGCGTCTGGGTTCTCAAAGGGAAAAACACCGCGGGCACTCCAGCCTTTGGCTGCCTCCCTCTTTTCGCCTGGATGGACGAAGGATGCCTTGGATTGCACTGGAGCTGGGGAAACAGGCGGACAGCGCTCCCGGTGGGGGGATGCCTGTCCCTCTCATTCCCTTACTTTAGGGTACCGGATGGTATCGCTCTCGTCCCACCCCAGGCCCAGGCTGGATGGGTCACCAGGTTTCCAGAGAGCAGGTTACGTAGCAGGTGTGCGGTGGGCATTTCTATTAAGTCTGTATTTGGTGGGACGATGTGGGGAGCCTAAAGCTAGTGGATGAGTAGAGCTGGGTCTTTTTTTTTTTTTTGCTAATTAGGAAGAAAACTTAACACTCCCCTCCTCTCGTTTTAAGCGTGATTCAGCTTGAAACTAGGCTGAGGGTGAGTGGGGATGTTTAAGAGTGAAGGAGCTTCGTCATGTGGAAAACTAGGCTTCTGACAGCTCGTGGTTCCCGCGCCCCGCCCGCCCTCGGCCCCGGGCGGAGTCTGTAGGTGGGGTGGTCCGAGAGGGGTTACATCCCACGAGGGGCGAGCAGGCCGGGACCCCTTAGTGCAGCCTTTGCCGGGGAGTGCCCTGGCAGGGGGGAGCGGCCACGTGAGGGTGGTCTGCGGAAGCGCCGGAGCTGAAAGGTGGGAGCGAAGTGCGTAGCAGACTCGTGACGGGGGCTGACACGATACAGTCGTGGGCGGTGGGCGCTGGAAGAGCGGAGACTCGTGCGGGCTCGACCCTAGAGCCGTGGCGACGGTTTTATTCCGAACGGGCCTGGAGCTGGGCCCCTTCCACGCAGGGCCGCGGGTGGTGCTCACTCCAGGGTCCGCTCCCGGGAGACCGTTACCAGGCGGGGTCTCCGTCCGGGAGCTAAGGCTGTAAACAGGGTGGCGCCCTCTGCCCTCCCGCCCCCGGCCTGCCGGGGCGCGCGGCCGGCAGCGCCCGGGGCGGCGGAGGCGCGGCCACGGCGCTGGGCAATGGCGCGGGGGCGCGCCCGCACCCCGCCGCCTCCGCGCGCCCCCGCCGCCGCCCTGCCGGCCGGCCTCCTGTGTTTTTGTTTTGATGGAGCCCGCGTGCAGCTGGCGCGTGTCGAGTCACGTGCCGTGGGCGGGAGGGGGGCTGGGGCGCGGGAGGCGAGGGCGCGGTGACGCAGGCGTCCGGCGCCCGCGGGGGCTGCGAGGAGAACGGCTAGGGGGCGTGGGTCCGGGACAGTTATCCAGCTCCCAGAGTGTCAAGGCCGCACCTGGTGGAGTTCGTGGGAACTGGTCTGCGGTAAGCGGTATACGGACGTGGGTGTAAATCCCACCGCACTCGGAGTTCGCGGTCTCGACCTCTAGGACGAGGCTTTCCATCCAGGCCAGGAGGCCCGCCTGCGCCGATCCGGTCAGAAATCCAACAGATATTAATGGGTGTGTGTATCCTTGTGGGCATATAAAAACCTGTATGTGATTCTTAATCCTGGTTGGACCTTGTAAGGAACTGGAGACCTTTAAAAAGAACTCTGATGTCCAGGTCAATTGAACCCAAATCCAAATAAGGCCTGGACATAATGTATTAAAGAAAATCCCACCAAAGTATTTTTGATGCAGTGAGGGGGAGAATTTACAGAGGTAGCCAGCTTGATGGAATAGATAGATGTGAAAACATCCATCTTTAAGGACAAAGAAGTAAAAATAGCTGAAGTGTATTTATCTGCCATTAGATGGGTCACTGTGTGCCAGCATCGTGTCTATGCAGACAAGGATATACTTGATGAAACGCTGTTATCCCCATTTTATTGCTGGAAAACTGAAGCTCAGGAGGTTAAATTTTGGTCAGTGACCATCCCTGACTAGTAAATTCAGGAGGCTGACTCCAGAACCCTACTTTCAGCCATTATACATACGTGCTGCATTGGAAATAGGCCTTTACCAGAGGGCCACAAGATTGTGTTTATAGGAATAACTATGTTTGCCTACTGGCCAGCGAGCTTATAAGCATATCTTTACATATGTATTTTTATCTCGGAAGTTTTTAAAGGGGGGAGAGTCACTTGGTGAATTGTTAAAGCCTGTAAGCTAATAACGTTTTCAAGAAGTTTATTATGAAGACAGACAGGATCCCAGTCATTTGAAGAGTACATATTCCATTAAAGTTGTTTTGAGATTTGAACATATACATGTACATGTATAGTGAAGAGTCCAGAAGATGCAGGTATTTCCAAGGATTTACGTAAGCAGCCACAAGAGTCCTTTAGGTTGCTAAGCACGATACAATTTTGGTGGTCATAAACTGGATGTAGCTGAAAGTGCAAGGTAATACGCAGACTAGCAGAAGTTCTGCCAAGAAAATTTGTAAGGTAAATAACTACTTTGGTCTGGAGCACAGAAGCGTTGCTTCTGCATCCCCCTTCTCTGTTTTATTTCATTTGCTTTCAGGTCATATAAGCTCTTAGTGGAATATTTAGATGTGAGGGTAATCCATTTTTTTGAAAATGTGTTCATTGATATACTCTAAGGATATTCCAAATAAAACACAGAAAACAAAGGCTTTTCCCTGCAAACAAAATACTCCAATTACTGTATTTATGTGACCAATTTGTATTATTAAGTGGTACTGTGTTACAAAGAAATGTCTGTATTTCTACTATTTAATATTTTTAGCTGTGTGGCAGCCATAGGCACATTGCTTATCAAATTCGGGATTGGTTTTAATGTTGCCTGCAGTTTTGGTGAAGAAATTTTATAGACCTACCAAAGCAAGCTTGACATAAATGTGAGTGTCTGCAGTCGGGCATGGGAATAACTTCCCTCCCTTCATTATCACCCCCATCCCTGTGAGCACCAAATACACTTTTCCTTTAGCATTGCCAACCAGTTGTGATTCCTTTGCACAGCTCTGCCAAGGTGGCTCTTACGCTTCTTGGGTACCTCCTTCAGGAAGTTTCCTGTGATTTCTCCTCAGAAAACATTTACAAATGCCTTCCTTGTGTCGCCTGTTTGTGTTCTACATACTTGTCTTAGTGCATTAATCACAGCATATCATACTGTTTTTGTTTATACAATGGACACCCTTACCAAATAGAGCTCATCAAAGTGGGGGAATGGTGGTGATTTATCTGGGTATGATTGGCACACAGTAGGCACTTAACATGTCCAAATTGAATTTGAGTTATATTGTTTGTGTTGGTGTTTGCCCGTGTTACCCATCTTCATTCTTAACTGTCCTCATCTCCTCTGCTACTAGCTACTAAGCTAAAAGCACACATCTTGCACAAAGACTACAGAACACTACTAGCACATTCTTGTAAAAGGAATAGGAAGGAAGGGGCAAAATCGAGTCAGTTTTTCACTTGTTCCCCAATTTCAATTACAGTTGGCCTATTGGACAGCCTGAATTTTCCTCCATACTTACATACATTGGGAGAGATGCTCAGCAGTATCAGTTTTCAGCTTAATTGGGAAGAAAAAAATGGCATTGCATTATCGGTGGGCATATGTTTTTATATGCCATATCAGAGTACAGATTCTTCACATTTTATTCTGTTGTAATTTTCAGGTTTAGTATTACAGTGGCATTTGTATAGTAGCACTGTCCCATAGCACTTTTTGAGATGATATGCTTTATAATGACATACTTGTAATGACTTACAAGTAATAGTCACTAGCCACTTGAGGCTGTTGATCACTTTAAATGGATAGTGTGACATTGGAACTGAATTTCTAACTGATGTGAATAGCCACGGTGGCTGGTGCCTACTGTATTGAAATGGCACAATTAAAGAGGATTTGCTTATATTTTAAGCTTTGTATTTGACAGGTGAACATTTACATTAAGGTATTCTGCCTTGAAACAATCTTTTGATTCATTTTTTAGGGCTTGACAACTATGCTTCCAGTTCATAGATTCTAATGTGTTTACTGGTTGATATTTTTGACCAATGTGAAGCCTCCATATTAAATAGAGCATTTGTGTGTTCTGTAAGCTTTTCATGTAGTTCATGAGGTCTCCCTTTTTTATGAGCAGAGTGGAATGATTATGAGTAATTCTGACTATAAAGAATTAGTTACAAATCAAATGGATTTGAGCCCTTGGTGTATAAACTAAAAGGAAATCCCATAATCTTAATCAACAGTGCTCTAAGATGTATGCATTTGTCATACTGGCCATTGTATTCCCAGTGTCTCATACCAGTGCCTGACACTCATAAATATTTGTTTGTAAATATTTTGAATGAACAAATGTTCAATTTAGCCCCCTCTTCACAGGGTGTATTTTAGAACTTCAGAGGAGGTATTAGTAACTATGCTGAATTTATAGTTGTTCCAAGGAATGCAGTCTCTCCAATAGCAATATTGTTAGCTCAGTGACTTTGATTTCTTTCCTGTAAGATAAGTGGCAGGAATTGTTACCCTTATTTGATGACCAATTAAAATAAAATCACAAGGGGATTTGGTGCTCAGGTCCTACAGAGAGACTTGGAAGTGTGAATCAACTTGAAGTAGTTGTTCCTATTGTTTAATGCACTTGTGATTCTTAAGAGAAATAGAACTCATGCACTGAACTATGTTAGTTAGAGAATTGGGTTTGTGGAATCTGAGGTTATCATATATGTTAATGGAGCCTGAAAAGAGGACTGAAAATATCTCTAGCATGGCATGACATTGAGAAAAAGCTTCAATATGAGAAGCAGGAATGAAAACATTTCTTTCCTAGACCTCTAAATCTCAGTCTGTGGTAATTAATGTAATCTTAGCACCCAAGTTACAAACTTCTCAAATAGGATATTTTAAAATGTAAATAGAACCAGATGTTTAGTTGTGCAGATAACCACTACTAGACTTTGAAATACTTTTATTAAAAGGTATGGTATACATCAAACATCTGTTCAGGAAGGAGAGCCCTGAGGCTAAAAATTGTAAATTTCATTTCATGTGGTAGATGCTGTATTGGTAGGCTAATCACGCAGCCCAGTATGTGGTCTAGAACTTGTAGAAAATGATATGAAATCTACTCTGATTGCTATGCATCACACTTCCCTCCCTTGTGGTGGTATGTGTGGCCGGGTTATACACCTGTCCTTGTTCCTAGGATGCAGGCTAGCTTCCTATTCTGCCATTATTGGTGTTCTACAAATGAAAACGAATTTTATATTAGAATCAGTAAAATGTAATTGAAAAAAAAATTTTGTTGTTTAAAAAAGAAATCATACAATACATTCCAGGATGAAATGTGAAGTTTTTTTTTTGGGTGGGGAGGTGGTGCTGTTACTTTCTCTTTTAGCAGTTTCTGGCCTCTTAATACTTGATGATTCCTCTTCAGATGCCTGTGATGTAAATCTCTTTGGTGGTGGTAGTGGTGGGAGGAAGCCTCAAAACCAAAAACAAACTATCAACCATATGTCCTATAAATTCCTGCTGTTGCCCTCAAAACCAAACTCAAAGAACCATAACAGAAGAAACCCACCACTGCTATTAGCAGTACAGTTAACCCCAGCAAACCAAGCAAAAAGCCCTGTGTGATTGGAGATGTTGTTTCTTTGGAGAGGTCAATAATGTGAAGCCTCTTTTTAGGTATTAAATGTAAGTTACTCAAAACAAAAACATTTGTCTGCCTAACTATATAGTAATGATACACGAATTCATGCTGCAATAGATCAAGATATATTTGGCCTAGAGATGTATTAGTCCTCTGGGACTACTTGGATTCAGGTGTGTAGTTTAAGAATCATATTGAAGGTTTATTGAGAACTGTCTCTAGTGACTTTGGTCATTAACTTGATATAAGAATTGAAGGAAGCTGCCAGCTTCATTTCTTTCTCATCAGTGGAGAGATTGGAGTGGATCACTGGTTTTCAAATTTTAAAGTGGTATCAGAATCACAGAGTGCTTGTTAAAACTAAGATTGCTGGACCACAGCCCAAATTTCTGACTCATTAGGTCTCTGGTGGGCCTGATAATCTGCATTTCTTACAAGTTTCCAGGTGATG